TTGAATATATATATATATATATATTTGAAATTATATAGTAAAGTACCTAAATTCATATTTTTTACTTATGTATCTGCACATTTAATTAATAGCACTACAATTATTTATGCAGAAATATTTATCTTCAAGTTTTTTTTCGGAGGAGTATTCACGTCGGTATCTGTGAGATACCTTCGTGAGATACCTTCGCCTGCTTTCCTATCAAATGCTGCCCTCTATTACATATCAGAATGCAAAGCCTCCAGTTCGCAGGCGCATCTTCCGGTGTATGTATATACTGGTTCTCCATCTCTTATATGCCAACTGGAATGCATTTCTTCCTCGTGTCTCGCTGATGCTGGAACCGCTATTTCCTCCTCTCTCTTTCCTGCTTTCTCTTTATCTCTCATTTGCTCCATCGCACCCTTCTCTCCTCCGATCTTCGTCCTTAATGTACCAGTTCCACAGTAGTTGCGTCGTAGCGGCCGTTTTCACAGCGACCCCACTACGAAACCTGACAACTAGTTCCAGTTACTAATAGTCCGTCTGCTACCCGATGCGGCAACAGTTGTTCCTCGCTGCTCTCACTGTCTGCCTATTTATCTCCCAATCAATGATTTCTTTTCTCCTTACATTCCCTTACTTGTTCTCTTCGCAAATAACTATATTCTATTTTTTTACACTCGCGCGAATCTTATCCGAATGTCCGTGAACGTCCGATAAGAGCGACAGTGTCAGGGTCAGTGTGAGTGGGGCAACGCAGCGGCGTGTAAAAGCGAACGTCAGGAGAGTTTGTGCGGTGTGATACGGGTGAAGAGGTTCATCCTCGTCTCTCTCCCGCCTGACAACCGTCATCAGTCTCCGTCGCTGAAACATGTCTCTCATCGCTGACTGCTTTCGCCGTCTGACGGACATCTCGTCCTGCAAAAGCGAGGTACGCAACACGTGCTGCTTATCTTACATGCCAGTTGCGCGATAAGCATCTGAGTACAAAATAGAATGCGCTCTTTAATTACATTCTTGAGGAGTGAATCGAAATATCTCTTAAAGATGCAATTTCTTTTTTTTTTTAAATAATTATATTTATTGAATGATATATTTGCCGATTAAACTGTATAATTAAGCTGCATTCTGGGATTAAATAAGATGTATGTAAAAAAAAATTGTCTTAACTATTGAATTATTATATTGTAATATCCAAGTGTTCATATCTATAATAAAAGTATTTATTACTTTTACCACTAATACTATATTGTTGTGTTTACTACAGTAATATACACTTTTACCAAGACTATTTCTGTATTTATTCTTTCAGTATGTGTGTGTTAATACACACACTGTAAAGATTATTACTAAAGAGTATTTTCACACAAGAATGCAGATATTAATGACATATCACAATTTGTATCCAAGCTATAATTTTGTCGTTAATCAATTATACATATATATATGTACATAGATAATAGCTGCACACATGAGGACATTTGATGAATTTTAATATTAGCGGTTTCATTATTCATGACATTTGCATTTTGACGTGACGTGTCGAGTGGCCTCGACTGGGCGCCATTGAATATAAAATGTGGGTCACTCGAAGAAATTGTACACGCGCAATGCTCTGAAATCCGATGGCCTTGAACGTGATGTAGAGTGCAATTACGCGGTTACTTGATCTGAAATAATCTAATAATACCTGACGTTCCTTAATGCAACTTATTTTACTAGCAGAATTTAATGTTGCTGCTCATCTCAATTACTGACACAAATAACTATTATTTGATTTATTTAACTTATATTTTTACTTATATGTATATATATATATATACATTTTTTTTCTTTTATTACCTTCTATTCTTGATTAAATTTATTATTATTCTATATTGCTATTATAACCTTAAAGTTCGAAAAACAAAGTTTTCTAGAAAATAAGAGTTTTATAAATAGTTTAAACTTTAAATTATTAAAATGTTATAGTTTTAATTTTGAAGTGCAATTTTGATGCATAACAAATTATAAAAGAATAAAAGTACGTTCTTTAAGTTTTTATTTTTTTCTGCAAGTATTTAAAAAATGGCAATATGCCAGAAGGCTTTATTAACTGCATATTTCATTGCAGATTGCACAGCATATTTTATTATATATTTATACAATATTAAATTAAAAAAAACATTTTCTAATTGGGATAAATATTTTTAAATAATTATCCCAATATATAAAATTCTTTATCTATATAATTAATTCATAATTTCCCACCTGACAAATTTATTTCAGCTCAAAGGCTACAAAGTGACCGATGTGAATCGTACACGAAAAATTGGTATTGCCTGCCGAAATTTTCATGATTTGAAACAGAAGGCGTGTTTAAAGTTAAATGTAAGTATATATTAATATACGAAGTAAATGAGAGCCTTTATTTTTTTACGATAAGCTATAATTTTGGATGATGCGTTCGTATGTGCGTCGTACAAAAACCATATCGTATGAATGACTCAACGTGTTTTTAGACAATGTGTTGCACGCGCAAAAATGGAATAAAGTTTGTTATGTAAATGCCGCGTATTTACATTTATCGAATATGTATTTAGATGTCTGGCATAGATTTAAATTAAATTTATATATTTTGCAATGCTGATTCACGTAATACGCAATACTATTATTACGTAATGCGAGTTTTTAAAAATTAATTCGGCGCGCAATTTAAATTATGACAAAAATAGTATATAAATTTGTATAGAGTTATTAAGCACTTAAGATCCAGCTTGACCGCTGAGGCTTCTTTCCTTTCTCGTTGTGTATTTACGAGGTCTGTTCAAAAAGTATCGCGAATTTTGTGTTTTTTCAAAAATTATTTATTTATTCATGAATATCTATTTTCTCCCCTTCAAAGTAATCCCCATCAGATATTATACACTTGTGCCAACGTTTTTTCCAATCCTCGAAGCACTTCAAAAAATTATTTTTTGTGATCTTGTTCAGCTCCTCCTTCGATGCCGTCTTTATGGCTTTATGGCTCGTGCGGCAGCTTCCATTGGGATGATTGAGCTTTGGTTTCCACGTCATAACCATAAACCCATGATTCGTCACCAGTTATGACCCTCTGGAGCAAATTTGGGTCGTCGCGGACAGAGTCCAACAGCTCCTTAGCAATGTTAATGCGATGCTGTTTTTGGTCGAAATAGAGCAATTTTGGTACGAATTTCGCGGCGACCCGTCTCATGCCCAAATCATTGGTAAAAATCGAATGGCACGAGCCAATCGATATGTTTAGGTCCTCAGCAACCTCTCTAACGGTGATTCGACGATTGGCCAATACTATTTTCTTCACTTCATCAATGTTTTCGTCTGTTGTTGACGTGCTCGGGCGTCCGGCACGCTCTTCGTCGTTCACATCTTCTCGGCCCTCTGAGAACATTTTGTACCACCGATAAACGTTGCTTCGGTCCAAGGTAGCTTCACCATATGCCACAGTCAACATTCGGAATGCGTCCGCGCACTTAATTTTGTTTTTCACACAAAATTTGATACAGATTCTTTGATCCATTTTTTGGAATAGGTAAAAATCGAAGACTAGTCAAAACACGTGCAAGCAAAGCAGCTGTCAAAAATTAACTGAACATTCAAAATGGCCGAACTTATCGGCATAAGTGAGAGATATGAGTACCATACATAACGTCACAAAAAATCGAAAATCGAATATACGTAACCCGCGGAAATTCAAAATTCGCGATACTTTTTGAACAGACCTCGTATACGATCCTAGAAACTTTTCGTTAAATATTTTTTATTAAGTAAAAAAGCAATTTGCGTTGCTTAAAACGTTCAAGATAAACATCATGTAATTATTATGTAGATACTCTTGACTAAAATATATTGAGAAAATAAATCTTATCAATTATATATTTTGAATATCTATTACTTTTTAAAATTTAAAATATATATACTCGCGTTGTATATAATAACAAAATGATCATGATACAATAAAGATTGAAAACAGTGGCAGTTACAATTGAATGACCATAAGTCAATTAAGAATTGCTTAATTTACTATTAAATGCTTCGTGGAATGTGGAATTTGTCCTTGTAGCAAGTCGAAAGCAAGAATAGCTGGTCAATGCGCATGCATTAAACGATTCATTGTTGTATAAATTTACTAGACATACTTGTTTAATGCATTTCTTTTTCTTCATTATGCGCATATTTAGTCATTTAAATCAAGTCTAATATATTCTGATTATTTCCGTCCCGACTTTCTTCCAAGTTATTTTGCAACCAGTATTGTCCGTAACTTTTATACGACTAAACGCTACAATCTTTAGATTAATTGGAATAGTAAATTGGAACACAGACACATAGCATAGATTATAGTTGCTTGCTAATGTAGCATTGCGAAAATAGAAAGCTATTCATTAAAGTGATGTACAGAAACTTGTAACAAGAATATTCTATAGACATTATGCAAGCCGACAGGTATACTCTTGAAATATCGTCTCATTAAGCGCGGATATGATGGCGTAGTTTACAAATTCTCAAGGAAATAAAATCTTATTTGTATATTAAGGTTATACTATTAGATATTAAAAGAGTAATGATAACCCAATTATTCGTTAAATAACATTTTGATATTTTTAACTTTTGTGTGTATGTAAATTCTGTGTTAATTTGTTAATATAAACTACGTCTGTATTAATGTATGCACTTAGCAAATAAACTAAATTTGAGTGAATAATATACTTCTTGAATTATTAAACTGGATCGATTAACTCAATTTTAATTAGATTAACGATACATGGAGAAGCTATGGCGACTTATAAAAATGATTAAAAATAAGTCAAATTAGGCGTAATTTTACATTATAAATATTTAACAATGTATTTTACTTGAATAATATAATTTTTATACATATTGATATTCTCGAGAAAAGAATCTTTACTTCTGTGATTAAAATAGTAATAATTAGTAAGCAATTCCGTTTTTTATTTTTTGTAATGTAATAAGAAAGAATAATGAATTACTGGAAAAATAAAATGTCATTTAATTGTGATATTTAGTTAAATATTACCTCATGTTCCTATTTTTTTGGTATGATAATGTGAGTAATACAACTGCGATAATGTGATAAAAATACTAATAAAGAGATGTAAATCTGTATAATGTATTCTGAATTATTGTCGATTATTTGTATCTAGCACATTTTTCAATGACTGTCCTTGATGCGAAAGAGACATAGTCGATGATAGCATTTCACGGGTAGATAGGTCGATCCAGTTTTAGTATGTCCTTGAAATTGCATCCGGTCGGCCGCAACCGCTGGCTTTATCGAACCAGCCGGGCCAGGGACAGGAAGTAATCTCAATGTTAAGGTCGTGAATCTGCTTTTCGCCCTGGCTCGAAGGTCGACCCAGATAATTTTTTAGGTCAAAGTCAACCCGAGTTACGCAAAATTATAAATATTCGTCTCTTAAAATTGACGTTTTTAAATAATATTACTAAAAGGAATTAAACCTTGCGCATTACATTCTAATAAAATAAAAAATAATTTCTAAAAAAAATATTACTAAAAAATATTATTACTAAAAAGTATTATTTATTAAAAAATTATTATGACAGTAATTTTAAAATGACGAAACAATGTTTCTACTACATCAAAATATGTATTGATAACATTATATAACGTAATAAATAGGTTGATTCCTTCACAGTCGGAAAAATTTGTTAAATTTAATATTTGACATTTGTTTCAAAATGTCCAACAAAATTTTTATGTTAATTTAACTTTAACACAAAATGCTCAAATAACACAATTACAAATTGACACCAAATATATTGTATTAAAAATTATAACACAAAAATAACAGTTTTAATACAAATATAAAATGCTTTTCTACCGTATGTGAAGTAGTCACATAATAATTGATAATAATTTTAACATAATACGATTCAATAATTTTCTCATATTTATGGAAACTTATACTTTTGACAACTTCGCTGTTGAAGAGGAAAGTTGAAAGTTCATAAAATACGCGGCAATTTACAGTACTGATCTCCATTATTTAGAATCGCTAGAGAAATACGAGAATGACGTCGTCATACTAAGAGAAGTAATGTAAAAGTTAATGAAAAACCTTGTATTTAGCCTTCACAGAAGATTATTTATATTTCCTTCGAGAAGATAACAGGATTATATTATGGCCTTGACGTTTGAGTTATAGAATATTTTCTCTTATTATCTCATCATTAATTCAAAATTATTAATTAATGGGAACGTTAATTAATTCGTGAGCAAAGAGGAAAAGGACTTCTTCAATGTAAATATATAGAACGTAATACCCCTTGCCCAAAGAGAATTAATTAAGTAGAATGGTAAACACTGATCGATCCTGCGTTTTCTCTTGTAGGTAACTAACGACCCAACGGAAGTGAATGTCTTCCTTTTAGACGGATCATTGATCGATGAAGAATATTTTCGTACACTAGAACCACAGACTACTTTGATCTTGCAAAAGCCTGGGGAAAAAGTATTATCCGGTTAGTACAACAACGTAATACGGTAATTAATAATATTAAGCATGCTTGAAACTGGAACAAATAACATTTTACATAACAATAGAAAAAAAATTATGTTACGTTCAGAATTTGAATATTTTTAATCTTTAAGATGACTTTAATCGTTCTAGTATCAACCAATAACATAATTATTGTGTACTAAGGAATTAGATTTACAAAAAAGATGATTACTGTAACAGCATCGAAGGAAGAGTTATGAAGTTGTCACACGGAAAATGTCTAATAGATTTTTAATTCTGAAATAATTTATCTGATTTAATTTACTCAATTTATAACAATTTGTCATTTTTTAGACGATAAAAAATGTTATCATTTGTTAAAATTTTTGCATTAATTTTTTATATTTCTAATAGGAAATTCGATTCTACTCATTAATGCATTCTGGTGCATATTAAAGCCGTTTTACATTAATTTATATAATCTGAGTGTAAAAGTAAAATGCAAATATTTCGAATTTTTTAATATTGTATTTAACAGCGCAATAAAGTGTATTGAGGATTTCGCGGTTTAATTCATTTCTGTATTTATATTGAACACACATCTTTACATCAATCTGCGTACGGCAGCTTAATATGCACTAGTGCTCAATGAGTGTGTCCAACCGAATTCACTATAAAAAAAGGAAGAATCATTCAGATTGGGTTGTTCCATCTTTCAATAAATGTCAATTTATTCGCTCTCTTCTCATTCTCTCTCTCTCTCTCTCTCTCTCTTCCTTCTTCCTACGCTCTTTCTTTTGTCTATTAAATAAATTATCACATAGTTATCTGAAAGTGGAACAACCGCGTCTAAGTATCACTTTTTCAAATATACATGTAGATCTTACGTATACATTTGATTCTTCCAATGGACGCTATTGCAATTAAGGTTTTTAATCATCGAAAGATTCGCAGCTGTATAAAGCTGACACTGTTTTCGTTATAGTTTTTCGCTACATGATTTTTGCATTGTGCGTCTGTCACGTAGTATTCGCTATAATTTAAGAACACTTTCGAGATACATTGGTTAAAAAATTTATAAGTTTATTATGATTCAAAAATAAATGCAATGCGCGCTTGGCTGTACGCCAGAATTAAATATTTCAATCCATTGTCAGCCTCTTGAAGCTTGCGAACTTCTTGACAAAATTGGGCGCGGCATTTTCACAAAAAACAGATCGCGTAACTGACACGTGCGAGGATGCTGTGCAATTTTTTTCAAGGACGAATGATTTTGCAGATGCGGACATTCTCTATGAAGCACTGAGACGCGTGAACATTGATTTCCTCACTGCCGGCGACAGGGTGACGCAATTCCTGACGGAGAATCTTAAAGGAAAAGTCGCTTTGTTGAACAAAGTATTGAACAAGGATGACTCTAAGACAGCGCTTAGTACGAGGGAGGAACATCCGGAGTGGTTTGAAAATTTGGAAACCAATTGCATGACGAAGGTGTGTTCAATAAAATCCTCTTTAACAATATTTTAAATATTAACAATCTATATATTCCGAGCAACATCTGTTAAAAATGTATTATCCGTACAATGCAAAGTAAATTGAAATTAGAAATTGTTAATACTTATATTATAATGAACTATATACATACACAAAAGTTGCATCAATAACATTATATTTTTACTGAATACATTTTATAGTTAATTTATTTTGTCAATAAACATTAAATTATTTTAAACAATAAAATCTTAATTTTTTTATATATGTACTTTAAGTATTCAAGATGATTTATGCAAAGTTTTATAGCGATACAGAAATTAATTATTTTGTAAATAAACAAATAAATAAATTTTGTTTAGCGATAAAACCTACTTAAATCATTGTAAATATTTTAAACACTCATACAAAGAAATTAAGATTCATATCGTTATTTCTTAATTATATTTTCATTAGAACGCATTTCTAGTTTTTCATTAAAATAATTTATGATTCAGGTTTTAAACTGAATTTTTTGTATTACTTTTGAATGTGATCTAAGATAGTCTAAAATAGTGATGAATAGTCTATAACTATCTCATAATTTTTTCAAAGTGTTTTGAAAGTATGTGTAATATATCCTTAAATGATGTCTAACATATGCGCACATGTTACATGATATAATTAATATATTCTTTTAATTTACAAATAATATATTTTTCTATTCATCTACATATATTTAAAATTTTGGAATTAAATCGATTCTTTACTTTACTTATAGGAAGCATACATGCATCGCAGATGTCAGGATAGAATACGTACTTATCTTTACAAAACGATTGAGCAAATTAAATGCTCGGACGTGTTCATGAACGATTACAAGGCGAGGCAACAGCTTCTGCATACAATAGCATTCTTCAAACTTCAGCTCAAGCATGATCACTATTTCGGGTATTATTTTGATAGGAGCAGAGCGGAGTATGACACTAAAAGCGACAGTGATGAGATCGATTATGGTCGATGTTACGAACACTGTCCCTGCAATTTTAGTCGTATTAACGATGAAACATATCTTCGTCAACGGTATCTCCGTTTACCTCAGTCGTCTAATACTAACTCAACTGCTGATTCAGATAAGGTTGACGAGACGGACGCAAGGAAGTGCCTCGCGTCTGAGAAAAATGCGAAAACGGCGAATGACGATTCGGAGAGCTGTCCTTATCGCGTGAAACTGCGAGAAAAGCAAATTGCTATTTGCAACAAGAAGGGCGAATTCAAATGTGAAGGTCGGTGGAACACCGATGGCTGTCCCTACGGCGACAGACACAAGATTAATCCATACAGATCCAAGGAGGATCTTGTCTTATTCTCTACATGGAATTTGGATCACAAGTAAGATAACTGTTATGTAATATTTGTCCTTAATTGATGTAATTTATTATAATACACTAGATGACTTTACGAAATTGTTAACAACCATGTATAGAAACTTTGCGATAAAAATTTAAATCCAGAAAAATATTTTTTTGGTACACAATATTAATATCTGGCCCTCAATTTACTGTTTGTCTCAATATTATACACACAATAACCAATTTATTTATTTTGTAATAAATATGAATTTATAAACGGCGTAAAAATCGTTTAGCAAAGTTTATTTCATTACTATGAAAGAAATTAATAAAATCGTAAATTTTAAACAATCTGATTGTTTGTCATTTGCAGAATTGAAAGATCCAGGACGCTTATTCCAAAGTTGCTGCAGATCTCGCGACAAGACACGATTAATGAAGAGGATATTTACGACTGTTATGACAATCTGTTTACTGTGAAGAATTTAAGACTAGTCCATATCGTATGCCACGATAAAGGATCGCATAAATAAGCACTAATTCTGGGAGCTAATAGGGATTTGGCACATATGTTACGCTTCTAAAAGTGCCAATCGTATACATGAATGCTAAAGAATAATCGTACACTTAAATGAAATGATTCACTCATATGTAATACATGTAGAGCGCGCGCGCGATCTCTTCAGATCTCTACAAATAAGTATATTTAATACGTTTAAGTGCTGTTGATAGAATATAGATTTAGAGATTATTAATGTTATCGGGCATACTTCCGTTGCGATATGAAATAATGAGCAATAACATAATAATAATAAAATATCCGTTTTCAAAAGTTCGAAACATTCAAATTTACATTGATTCTATTTATTTGTGGATGATAAAAAATTTAGTTTCAAGTAATATTGATATGTAAACTGCATATGAGTTTGATTCCGCTAATTATTTTATAACACGAGACGTTGAACAAAGTTGAATATTACAAAAACTATCAATATTAAATCCACGATCTTAAGTGTTACTTGATGGCTACTCACTAATAAGATCTGAAAAATAATCAAAGAGGAAATTTCAACATACATGCATATTTACAAACAAAAATAATTGAAGATCTACAGAACTCTTACATAATATCTTAATTATACAATTCTTCAATCGGAATGATTACTTCTGAAATGATTTTTTTTATCACTCCGTTTTCGTCAGTATTATACGTACTGATTTTTTTTTGAAAAAAAAAAAAACAATTTTGTTTAAAGAAGTTAAAAATATTTTTATAAATCAATTACGAATACAGGGTTGTATAAGTCACACGCATGGATAACCGTAATTTATTTCAACGGCTATAAAAGTTGATAAAGAGGAAAACTGTTGTTTCAAATACGTCGTTAAGCATTGAGTATGTTCAGTGCTTGTAGGTATTTATTAACGAGTAACAGCTCTCTAGACTCATATTCGATCAGAAATGAGTCTGAGCCTCCGTCGGAATCAGATCAGATCAGCTCAGCTTAATTAATTCTTGACGTGATCCGCCTCTGACAAAGAACTGATGCTCGTCTTGTGCTCCACAAACTGTGAAGTAGATTATCTTTCAGACATATTTTTATTCTGACTGCTCGATAAGAGACAAAACAAAGTTCTGATATATACATTAACATATATATTATATTTAGAGAAAGTTATATATATATATATATATATA